TGATAATGAGCTTCTCCAATGATTCTTCCTACAGATATATTCAATCTGATTTCTATGTAGTCCATTAGGTGAGGACCATGCATATATTTGTTGTGTTTTTTATAAGAGAATGAATGTTGTTGTTAGGTGCCACTGAGTACAATCCATAGGGACCCTGTGAACAAGAGATCTGAACCTTGTTTACAATAATTGATTGTACAAAATTCTATCTTCAGCCTGATTTCTGTCACAAGTCTGTATTTTCGGACTGTTCCCTCTTCCTTGTTCCTAACTTTTGCATTCCAGTCACCAGTTATTCTCAATTAATCTTGATCGTATGTTTGATTGACTTTAGACTGCAAAAGTTGGTAAAAACCTTCAATTTGGCTTTAGTTTTTAGTGCTTATATATTTGAAAGATAGTTGTATTAACAGGTTCTTCCTTGTATGTGTATGGATACTATCCTATTATTACTCACAACATTGTACTACAGGATGGATTTAGAAATGGTCTTTTTTCACTCTGAATGCAATTCTTTTTTTCTTTAATTGTTCATTCCCGATGTAAGAGATCATTTGATTATCTGATCCAAAGTGGCCGATGCCAATCCATTTCAGCTTCCTAATGACTAGTACGCCAATCTTGATGTGTCCTATTTCATTTTTTACAATGTCCAACATCCCTACATTCATACTGCAAAAATTCCATGTCCCAATTATCAGTAGATGTTCTCAAACGTTCCTCTTCATTTTTCAGTGTTGTAATTTGGTATCGCCACTTTAGTACAGCATGAGACACACAAGTACATACATAAAAGTTGTTGTTATGTGCCATCAAGTCACCTGCGACTCACAGCGACCCTATGTACAACAACCCTAAACCCTGCTTTATCCTGTGCTAATCTTACTGTCTCTGATACACCTATCCCCATTATCCTAGTCACTCAATCAATCTACCTCATTGAGGGTCTTCCTCTCTTGCACTGTCCCTCCACCCTATAAAGCATGACATCCCTCTCCAGGACAAAATGTATTTGTTCTCCTAGCAGTCCATGGTCTATTTAATATTCTTCTCCAGCACCACAGCTCAAAGACATCAATTCTCCTACCATCCCTAGTCATTGTTCAGCTTTATGATGCATAGCAAGTGATTGCAAAGATGATGGCCTGTATCAGGCACACTTTAGTCTGCAGATTGACACTGTTGCTCTTCAATACTTTGGAGAGGACTCTGACAGCAGATTTTCCCAATACAATTCATCTTTTTTCTTTAAATTTTTAATTTTATTATTTTTTTGTGCATTGTACTGTCAAATCAGATCTGACTGGTACAGGAGGAGATTGTCCCTCCTTCTCCAGCAGAGCATCTGGTGCAATTCATCTTTTAATTTCCTGGTTATGGTTCCAAGAGTCTTGATTGTAGAACCAAGCAAACTGAAGCTGTTTACAATCTCAATCTCTTCACCATCTACCATGATGTTGTCAATCGGCCCAGTGGTGAGAATCTTTTTTTCTTTATATTGAGCTTCAATACATATATCAGGCTGCAATCCTTGACCTTCTGCAGCAAGCACTTCAGGTCCTCCTCAGTTTTAGCAAGCAGGGTTGTGTCATCTGCACTAAAAGAAGATGGAAAGAGTATACAGTCATTGACCAAAAGGAATTGGCAAACAGAAGAATTTCATGAAACAACATATGAGCAAGAGCCTGTGGTGATAAAGAAGTTCAAGCTGCTTTGAAAGAATTGGCAAAAAAACAAGGCTCCAGGAATTGATGGCATACCAATCGACATAAGATGCTGCCCTGGATGTGCTCACCAAGTTGTACCAAGAAATCTGGAGGACAACCACCTAGCCAACCAACTGGAAGAGATCTATTTTTGTTCCCATTCCAAAGAAAAGTGATCTGACAGAGTGCAGAAATTATCGAACAATATCATCAATATCACATGCAAGCTACATTCTGCTGAAGATTATCCAAAAATGACTGGAACAGTACATCAACAGAGAACTGCCTTTAAGTGCAGGCTGGATTGAGAAGAGGCCATGGCACTGGGGATATTATAGCTAATGTCAGATGGATCTTAGCTGAAAGCACAGAGTACTAGAGGAATGTCTATTTGAGTTTCATTGACTATACAAAGGCATCTGACTGGGTGATCACAATAAACTGTGTCTGACTCTGAGAAGAATGGGAAACCCAGAACACTTGACTGTGCTTATGCGAAACCTATACTTGGACCAGGAGGCAGTCGTCAGAACAGAGCAAGAAAACACTGCATGGTCCAAAATTGGAAAGGGTGTGCGTCAAGGATGTGTCCTATCTCTGTATCTTTTCAATTTATATGCAGAACAGATTATCCAGGAAGATGGGCTCTCTAGGAGGAAATGTGGCATCAGGATTGGAGGAAGACTCAACAATCTGCATGTTGCAGATGACACAATCTTGTACACATAATAGCAGATGATAAACAAGCAAACATATACATATCTATACTATGAAGAATAGCAACATGTAAGCCACTCCTTCAAGGCAAGAAACTGAGATAAGTGATTATACCTCTAAAAGCAAATTATACAAACAAGCAAACATACAGATATGGTGCAGACAGCAGAGGCTCCCACATCAGGTATCAAGGAAAGGTCCAGAAGGCGCAGAGGATCTCCAGAACTTGGGCAGCAGATGTCTTGGTCTCCCTGGTCAATGTGGGCTGAGAGGCAAGGCCTAGAGTCACAGTCATGGCACTTAACAACATGAACTGCCAAAAGAAGAAATCAATCTATCTTAGAGGAAATGCAACCAGGATGCTCCCTAGAATCAAGGATGATGAAACTTCACCTCACATACTTAGACCATGTTGTCAGGTAGAGTCAGTTCTTGGAAAAAGACATCATACTGGGAAAGGTGGAGAGATGGAAAATCAGTGAAAGAAAAGATCCTCAAGGAGAAGGACAGACACAGTGACTACAACAATGGTTTTGATATTATGATAATGGTGCAGGATAAAGCAAGAAATATCTGTTGTTCACAAGTTGCAAATGGACTTGACAGCATCTAACAACAGTATAACAGCATATATGAAGCCACAGTATAAGTATGTGGAGATTAAAAAAAAAAAGCTAAAATTTAGAAAGGAAAATGCACATATACAAGTCCCCAGAATCTGTTTTTAAAAGGTGGAGAGTAGACGGGTTAAGCTATTTCTATAAACACTCTTCCTCCACTTACTGGTGCATCACCAAATTTATTACTCTGATAAAGGGGGACAATTAGAAGACATTTACCAATTTGAAGGGGGTAAGGGGAAAGGCTGTGCCTGGAAATATTCCCTTTTAAATAGTGGTCATTTTGAGTTAAATTGCTTTTCCCCAGCCAGGCCTCTGTGTGAGATAGGAAGGAGGTGCTCTGAGGGGGTGAGCACCCTGTGATGAAGAAAAACAAAAGAAAATCACAACTCATTGCCATGGAACCTGAAATCACTCACAGCTAATCCTGAAGCCGGTTTTCAAAGGTCATAAATCATATCTTGCCCCAGGAGCAGCTGGTGGATTCAAACGGGCACAGAACAGCCTCTTTTGGGTTAGCAGCCCTGCTCTCTATGCACTATGCCTCCAGTGTTTGTAGGAAGTTGGGAGTTGTGGAGCCTGGGATCCAAGCGAAGAAACAAGGCTTTCCTTGGGTCACTGAGGGAAGGAGAGGCCTCTTCAGATTGAGAGAATTCAGGACTCTCCCCTAAAGGGCTCTGGGGGATACTCTGAGCCTGGGCAACTGAGGAGTAGAAATCTTCTCAAAATAAATATAGGTTTAGGTTGTGGATTTTACTTAGGCCAGGAGTCCAGGTTAAGGGACAAGAGCCCAAAACCCATTGCCCTAGGGTCAGAAATGAGTCATAGCTGATCCTCCACTGGGTTTTTTAGAGGCTATAAATCACATAGGCAGCTTTGGTGGCCTAGTGATAAGCTGTGTTGCAATCTTGAAGGTTATGTGCTGTCAAGCCACCTGTGACTCAGCAACCTTATGTACAACAGCTCTAAACTCTGCTGTATCCTGTGCCAATCTGTCTCTGACACACCTACTCCCATGAGCCCAGTCATTCAATTCAATCCATCTCATCAAGGGTCTTCCTCTCTTGCACTGCCCCTCTCCAAGGACTGGTCCCTCCTTGCAACAAGTCCAAAGTATGTCAGATGAAGCTTCAGAATCTTTGCCTCCAAGGAGCAGCATGGTTCCACTCACTCTAGGACAAACCTGTTTGTTCTCCTACCAGTCCATGGTATTTCAATACTCTTCTCCAGCACCACAGCTCAAAGACATCAATTCTCCTTCTATCATCCCTAGTTATTGTCCAGCTTTCTGAGACATAGCAAGTAATTGCAAAGACTGGATCAGGTAGCCTGGATCAGGTGCACCTTAGTCTCCAGACTGACATCGTTGCTCTTCAGTTTTGGAGAGGTCTCTGACAGTACCCAATGCTATTCGTCTTTTAATTTCCTAGCTGATGGTACCAAGAGTGTTGATTGTAGAGCCAAGCAAACTAAAGCTGTTAACAATTTCAATCTCTTCACCATCTTTTATGATGTTGCCAATCGGCCCAGTGGTGAGAATCTTTGTTTTCTTGATGTTGAGCTTCAGCCCACACTGAAGGCTGCAGTTCTTTTCAATCTAATCTCAAAGGTACGCAGTTCAAAACCACCAGCTGCTTGACCGGAGAAAAATGAGTAATCTCTTTCTGGACTCGCTGGAGGGTCAGCTATGGGTTGGTTCTGACATTAATGGTACAAAACAACATTATCACATGGTAGGAGATGGGCCATCTTTCTCCAACTGGTGGATTCGAACCGCCTGAAAGACGCCACCTTTAAATGAGCAGCACCAATTCCCTATGGGAATTGAATTAGACCATCAGAGCTCCAAGGGTCGAGAGCTGGGTTCAAAAGGGATCGCCTGAGGGAAGGCTGGACTCCCCGGAACCTGGCTTCGAGGGCCACCCCACCGCCCCGCTCTCCGCGCCCTGGGCCGCACCTGAACAGCACAGGGGCCTGCGTCGGCCGCGGCCGCTGGAAGCAGGTCTGCGGATGAGCCCCAAAGCAGACCTCATGGCGGTTGTTCTGCGAATCGCGCTGTAAGAGCGCAGACTGGGGGATGCTGCCAGAACCGGAAGGCGCCTGGGGAGTGGTCGCTGGAGACGAAGGCGAGCTCAGGTCCCACGTGACTGAGGGTCTAACTGACTGTCCTTGTGAATTTTCCACTCTCGTAGAAAAGTCCGGGGTGGTGGCCACGTTTCCGTGGTCATCCATAGGAATGTTCTGAGACGGAGAGCAGACACTGAGCGAGCAAACACGAGGGCGGACGCAGCGTGAGTCACCGCATTATAGCCGTGTTTTCAGCCCTGCGCGTTGCCCGGGTAACACGCAGCGGAAGAAGAGGGCGGGGAGCGCGCGTGCGCAGACCGGGCGGAAGCGGATGCGGTAGGATTGTCCGTCGGTGGCCGTCGTCGCGCCGCCTGGCGCATTGCTGTTTAGACGAGCTCGCTTGGATGGCGTGAACTGGGGCTCCCCGAGCCTACTCCTTCCATCTCTGGGATGGTCCTCATCCTTCGTTTTCGCCCCACAAGTAGCCAGGTGACCCGGCGGGGCACCTCCTCTGTCGCAGGAACCAGCCGAGGCGGGGATTTCTCTGAGGCCACCCCGATTCCTTTTAGCAGCGAGCGTCTATTGCCATGGAAACTGGAGAGCTTGACAGCCCGGAATTGGGACTTCAGTGTCGGCTCTCTTCCTGAACGAACCGATCCGCGGGAGTGGGACCTCCAACAGGCCCAGAGAGGTAAGGACGTCAGTGTCCCCAGCGGGCGGCGAGTGCTTGTCGCCTGCAGCCTAGATCACACTTGGTCAAAGGGAGCCCCATTCTCCAGCCTCCGCCAGTGAGTGGACGCCCCTGGAAATGGCTCCGGTTCCACGTTTATGACCAGTATAGAACGCCCGCCACGTCTTCAACTTTTCCTCCTAGTGATGAGGTCAGAAAGACCCGCTTCGGGCCTTGGACAAGGCCCTGTCTCCTCCCACTCATGTTCACCTTATTTACATTTTAAAAAATGAAGCTATTCATTTTACCCTAGGAACCCGCTGGGGGTAGTTTACTTTGAAAATGGAACCAGAAGAAGGAAGTTAAGGCTATAAAGAGGTGAGACGAATGTTACGGGATTACTATTTCTCCACCTCCTTCCCCTGCTGCTAAACATTCTTCGGGTCAGACCGCCTTTGCCAAGCCCTAACCCCAGCCTGGAATAATGATCCGGTTCCTCACCACTGCCACAGTGTCCTGCGTTGTAACTCTCCCAGCAGCAGCAAAGAGCATGTTGGAGCATGCACCCCAGGCTATTCTAACTCTTAGCAACACTTTAGAGTATAACTCTCTTGTGGGTTTTTTCACCTCATTGTGGTGGAATCGAACTGAATCATAGCAGACCCTCCAGCGGGCTTTCAAAAGGTAGTGAATCGCTCAGGAGGAGATTGCCCATCTTTCTCCTGCAGACCTCTGAGCTCAAGCCACCAATCTTTCCATGAGCATCAGAGCACTTAGCCAAAGCGGAGCCCTTTCCAGGGTTCTGATAGATAGAGAGTCATCATTGCAAGAGGGCTTACTCTGTAGTGCACCCTGTGTAACACTCTGCCTGTTTTGATGATTGAAGTTGTGAAACCCACCCCGATTATCTCCTTTAACCCTTACAACATCCTTATGCAGTAGGCAGTGTTAACCGTGCTTTCCAGCTCTGCCAGATCTGTAGTTGTGGGAAATTGTGTGGGAAGAATGCTCATGACTTGACCCCTGAAATCTCATAGCTACTAAACCCATTGCTGTAAAGTTAATTTGCACTCATAACTTTTCTCCTGCTGAGCCCCTAGTGGATTCGAACCATTGACATTTCAGTTAGCAGTGCAACACACGATGCCATCAGAGCGTCTTTACAGGGCCTGGTAAATATATCTTTAGTAGAATGAAATTAAGGACTCTCTGGATAGTACAAGCCATTAAGTGCTCAACAATTAGCTGAAAGATTGGGAGTTCAAACCCACCTAAGAAGACAGGCTTAGCGATCTGCTTTTAAGAGGTCTTTCAGAGCTTTGAAAACTCTGTGGAGCATTTCTGTTTTGCACACTCAGAGTCACAGAGAGTTGGCATTGACAGGACTGCAACTCATGATGACAAAGCTAGACTGTGGCTTTCTAGTCATTGTAACCCTCAACCACGAGAGTTTCAGCTCAGCAATCTCCTATTAATGTGATGAACACCCTCCTCTCTTCTGCGACTCTCGGGGATCCCTCAGCCCACTTCTTTGTCGATTTTCTGATGAGGAGCCAGAAATCCCTTAATTCTCAGTCTTCTGACCAAGTGCTTGGGTGCATTTCCCCCCTTGGTAGCTCAGTCTGTCGGAAGTTGTGTCACTAACACAAAGGCCACCCCTCTCTGGTAGGTTGGGTCCATCAGGTGCTCCTCGAGAGAAAGATGAGCAGTGTCCTCCTATACTATTTACAGCCTCTGAAAACCTGCCTGTGGGACAGCTATGAGTCAGTTGCAACTTGACAACCATATTTTTTTTTAAAAAAATTATCTTTGAACATACACTGGGCTGATTCTTCTGTGGTGCTTCTGACACTCCCATCTTCATACAGCATGTTTCACGTGGACATGTGCTGTCTCTTCAAAGAGATGGCTCTTACAGGGCCAGAGAGCTGGTACCTTGGAGTCCCATTAGAGACTGAGGAGGGAGACTGTGCTTGGGGTTCCCCTTTAGAGAGGATTCTGAAGGGAATAGAGATGGAGACTCTGTGAGCAATACAGAGTTAGACCAGGGCCCAGCTTCAGGACACAAGCCAGCCTGCCAAACTCAAAAGAGGAGGAGGCCTGGGAGGTCTAGGGTGCCAGGCTGGGGCATGCCTCTGGTCCTGAAGGGCAGTGTGCCTGAGACTATTTAAGGAGTGTGCAGCCAATGAGTCCTGATCCTCACCTAGAGGTGCCCCGTAAATAGAGCTTTAATAGCATGAACGTAAGGATCTCTGGATGGTACAAGCTGTTAAGTGTTCAACAATTAGCTGAAAGATTGACAGTTTGAACACACCTGAGAAGACAGGCTTATAGATCTGCTTTTAAGGAGGGTCTCAGTCAGTCTGAGAAGGGGCAGGCTAGCTGTATTTCTCATGAAATCCCTAGGATAGTCTGCAGCAAGTTGTTAGAGGACCAGCCACTAGGAATCCAGCTGTAAGTCTAGAATCCTGGGGTTGACCTGCTGATCTGCCGGGCTCCAGCCTGCTAAGCCTTCCCTTCCTCTCTGCAGCCTCACAGAAAGATGCAGCCCTTCTTCCCCACCAACGACTGACCCACCACCTGGATGACAGCACCTACCTGTGCCTTCCCAGTCCAGCTCAAGGTGCCCTCGGTCAGCGGCCTCTCCCGGGTCACCAGCAGCTTGTACATCAGCAGTGCTATGGCCGCCAACAATAGGCACATGCTGTCCAGCCACCAGATCACCACAGTCATCAACGTCTCGGTGGAAGTGACAAATACCCGCTATGAGGACATCCAGTACATGCAAGTGCCTGTGGCTGACACCCCCATCTCACGCCTCTGCGACTTCTTTGACCCCATCGCTGACCATATCCACAGCGTGGAGATGAAGCAGGGCCGCACGCTGCTACACTGTGTGGCGGGCGTGAGCCGCTCAGCCACCCTCTGCCTGGCCTACCTCATGAAGTACCATGCCATGTCCCTGCTGGATGCCCACTTGTGGACCAAGTCCTGCCGGCCCATCATCCGGCCCAACAATGGCTTCTGGGAGCAGCTCATCCACTATGAGTTCCAGCTCTTTGGCAAGAATACTGTGCACATGGTCATCTCCCCAATGGGCTTGATCCCTGACCTCTATGAGAAGGAGGTCAGGTTGATGATTCCATTGTGAGCCAGCCCCGCCAGGCCCAGCCCCAGGGTCAGAACCACAGACCTGCCATTGATCCCTCATCAGGATTTGAACTTGAGCTTAACTTTGGTTGCTACAGAAAACCCAGATAGTGCCTTTTCTAAGGGCAGGGAATAAAAAGGAAGGTCATTGCGGTGTTGAACCATGCAACCCACATCTTTTAGGATTAAACTAAATGCAAAATGGTAAAAAAAAAAATAAGTTTTCTGCTCTATAAGTGGCCAGTCTCGTTGCCGGGACCTGGTCATAGTTCCTGGGAGCTGGTGGTAGGTGGTACCCAGCTCAGATGGATCTGCAGGTGGCACCCGACAGTTGTGGCAAAATCTGGAATCCTACAGCCCTCCTCCAACCCAGGAAGGAGTCTTCTAGAAGACCACTTGATTCTTTCCTGCTCAAGGCCTTAAACCTCACAGCATCACCCACAGTGCTCACGGGAAGCACCAGCCTATTGAATAAGTGGCCTCCAAGTGGTGCTTCTGGAACCCTCTAGGTCTCAAACCACTCAGCTTCCTTTCAACCCTAATGGCCCAGCTCTGGTTTTTTTTTTTTTTTTTTTTTTGGGGGGGGGGGTCGGGCAGGGTGTGTGTACCGTCAAATCAGATCTGACTGGTATAGGAGGAGCTTGTTCCTCCTTCTTCAGCAGAGCATCTGGTGGATTAGAACTGTGCACCTCTAGGATTGCAGTGCTCCTTCTTGCCACTAGGCCATCAGAGCTCGCCTGGTTTTCTTGATTGGACTTATTCATGAGATCATTTTGGAAGAGAGCATGCACTATCTCCACTGTTAAACATTTTTCAAATTTGTGAGTATTGTTCTAAATGTCAAAATCTGAACATGCCCTTTACAACCCCTTTCCAGCCTTTAGTCCTCTTCTCTAGGACATGTGCTAAGAGGGCAGGTCTGATGTCAAGCCTTTAAAAGGGTTTAACTCAGAGCTTCAGGCCAAGCCCATCTCTGTCACCTCCTGTATGTGACTGGCTGAGGATGACACAGTTCCTTAGCACAGGGCCTGGCACCTGATGTTGTGCTTCATTTGAATTCCAGCTCTTATTATTCATGCCACCTTTTGACCTCACTGCTTGGAAATCAACACACTCATTCCTCATAACAGTATTCCCCCATCTGTGTGCAACCTTTTATGTTTACCAAGTGGTCTAAATGGCCTATAGCCCTTGCAGACCCAAGATTTCAAGGTCCTTCTTTTCCCCACTCCCGCTGGAGTCCCCATTGTGTTTAAAGGGAGCTCTGGTAGGAGGATGGAGGGACAGCACAGGAGAGGAAGACCCTTAATGAGATGGATTGATTTAGTGACTGGGGTAATGGGAGTAGGTGTGTCAGAGACAATAAAATTGGCACAGGATAGAATGGGGTTTAGGGCTGTTGTACATAGGGTCGCCATGAGTTACAGGCAACTCGACAACACATAACAATAACAACTGGTGGATTAGTGGTAAGGAGTTGCACTGCCAAACCACAGGCTGGGGGTTCAGTTCCACCAGCTACTCCATGGGAGAAAGATGGCCTCTGGAAATCTCCTGGATGGTCAACTATGAATTAGTTCTGATTTGATTGTACGGAAGAACTCCTTAAGCAGCCAAGAGGTCTTAAATAGACGAACATAATTCTAGTTTCCCCCTAAAAAGCCTTGTTTAAATCACTGGTTGCTAGGGCCAACTAACTTGGATCTATGGGGCCACTAGTCGGAGACGCATGTGAGGGGTCCTACCAGTTGGCCCAGAATCCAGGATTGAGAAGAGATTCTGTCAGTCTGTAAGGACCTACTGGACACCAGCTGTTCCTAACCCAGAGATTTATATACGAGGAAAAGCACAAAGCAAAGCCCAGTGGAGGCTGAATACCATTTTCTTCAAACTTGCCCACCCCATGCCCACATGGGAATGTCTGCAAGCACAGCTTGGAAGGAGGAGAAAAAGAAAATCGCTGGTCCAGACTGACCTTGTCATATTAGCGATGGGGGGTAGAATCCCACAAGATAACAGGGTTAGAGTGGGCATGACAACTCCACAAAGCATCCTTTCTAGGGGAAACCCAGATGAGAAGTTTATTTTTGAGCACTTTTTAAAATAAAAATCAAGCTTATTTTTATTTCTTTAAAGTTTATTTTCATTTCTTTAAATTTCTAAATGATCATAATAGTAACTTGGAGGTTATGTAGTTCCAAGTTTAATACGTTGTCTCTGGTGGCCCGTTGGTAAGAAGCCACTCAGTCTCTCAGTTATTGTCAAGTCAGAACCAACCCATAGCTGACCGCCAGTGGGTTTTCAGAGGCTGTAAATAGCATGGGAGGAGACTGCCCAGCCTTCTCCCAAAAAGCAGCTGGTAGATTGAAAACAAATTCCTTTAGTTTGGCAGCACACCTTCTTACTCTTAGGCCTCTACTAGAGCTCCCTTTTGTCCCTTTTTCAGAATGTCTCTAAGTGTCAGTGTAGTGTCTGGAACCTAACTGCTTTCATTCACATAGTATCTGAGATGTAACTGCAATGTTCCATTATATAGAGGGTGCCATGGTTTCTGTTATATTCATCTGTTAAAGTATGTCTTGGTTGTCAATTATGAATAAAATTGCTATAAATATTTGCGTGTGGGTTTTTGGTGTGAACATAAGTTTTTATTTCTTCATGGGATAGCATGTCATGTAATAAAAATATATTTAATTATATAAGAAGTGACTATATCAGAATGGTGAACCATTTTGTATTGCAATTGACGAGATGTATTTGAGGATTTCCTTTTAACCTTGCCAATACTTGGTACTGTCAATGTATTTTAGTCCTCGTTTTAGGTGTGTGGTATCTATTTCCATAATGGCTAAAGATTGAATATCTTTTATTGGGTTCATTTTCTTCTATATTTCATAGTTGTTTAAATCTATTCAGATGCATTGTCGGTTTTTTTGATTGGGTGGTTTTTCATTAGTGAGTTTTGAGAGTTCTTTATATACCCTGGATTCACGTCCTTTTTTGGATATGCAATTTGTATTTTCTCTCAAGCTGTAGCTCGTCTCTGTAATTTATTAAGAATTTCTTACAGAACAAAAGTTTTACATGTTAATGTACAGATTATCCGTTTCTAATGTATTTTTTATTTGTGTCTTATTTAAGAACTCTTTGAGCTCAGATCATAAAAATCATAAAACGGTAACTTTCTTTTTATAATATTCCACATAGTTTATTTCTCACAGTTCTCCTGACAAATGAACATTATTCAAGAACATACTGTATACACAGATAAGAAGAACATACAAAATGTTTTAAATGATGCACAACAAAATCCAGCAGTATAAAAGAATGCATGTGAACTCTTGCTCACTGTGCAGACTAAATTTAATCACTTGTTTAAATAGTAATAAAAATACAATCTTTTATGGATCTTGTGCAGACTACAAAAGAGGGGAAATTATTACCATATATATGATTTTTATTTTATTAGGCAGTTTTCTTTGATGAGTTAAAACTAACTTTTGCATTCTTCCCTGAGTTGTAACTTCTGCAGTCTGAAGTTGATTGAATATACAATCAATATGCATTAATAATAATTGATGACTGGCATGGAAAGGTTGGAAACAGATTAAGGATTAATGGGAAAATGCTAAGTGGTGGGATACTATCCATATGCATACAAGGAAGACCTGTTAATATAACTGTTATTTAAACATACTCACCAACCACTAAAGGCAAAGATTTAGAAAATGAGGACTTTACCAAATTTTGCAGCCTGGAATTGATACTGTCAGGATGCATTAATAATTATTGGTGTCTTGACTGCAAAAGTCGGGAGCAGAAGAAGTTCTGGTAGTTGGAAAATAATAGACTTGCTGACAGAAATGAGATGAGATCTAATGATAGAATTTTATACAATCAATTATTTCTTCATTGCATGTGTTGTTGCTGTTATGTGCCATTGAGTCTCCCACAACTCATAGCCACCCTATGTACAACAGCCCTAAACCCTGCTGTATCCTGTGCCAATCTTATTGTCTCTGACACAACTATCCACATTACCCCAGTCACTGACTCATCCATCTCATCGAAGATGTTTCTCTCTCTTGCACTATCCATCCCTCCACCCTCCCAAGTATCATGTCCCTCTCCAAAGACTGGTCCCTCCTTGCAACATGTATGTCAGATGAAGCTTCAAAATCCTTGCCTCCAAGGAGCAGCCTGGTCTCACCCTCTCAGTACTTTTCTCCAGCACCATAGCTCAAAGACGTAAATTCTCCTTCTATCATCCCTAGTCATTGTCCAGCTTTCTGATGCATAGAGAGTAATTTTAAAGACTATGGCCTGAATTAGATGGACCTTAGTCTCCAGACTGACGTCTTTGTTCTTCAGCACTCGGGAGAAATCTGTGACAACAAATTTTCCCAAAGCATAAAAAATTGGCAGCAACTTAAGATGTTTAGAATCACAGAAGCCCAGAAAGCTTGAGATATAAGCCATCACATTAAGGGCTGGATAGGGGGAGATAAGTGTTGAATGGAGTAGATGAGAGTAGAATGGAATGCTGGTGGAGCAGGGAAATGGGTGAGTTAAGACACACATGTCAAGGGCGGGGACAACACTGAATCTATTGATGAGACTCATAAGGTTGCTTTGAGTTAACTTGATGACACCTAGCAGCAACAAAGCCAAAGTTTCTTAGAAAGGAACACCTGGAAATGTGTATGTTAGCTGAATGCCCGCCTTCTTAATCTGAGCTTTTTTAGACAAAAATCCTTTGCTAAAAATAGGCCCATGAACAAATAAATGGATAGAAAAGTTGTTGTCTATTCACACAGTGGAATACTATGCAGCACTGAAAAACATGGAACTCATAAAATATTATACAAAATGGGTAACTCTGAAGAACATTATGCTGAGTGAAATATCTCAGTACTTGACAATAGTCCAGAAAAAGGTGCATAGCAAAGTGGACTAGGGGGAAGTGAGGGAAGTCGAATATCAAATTTAATAATAGTAGAC